TTTACGCTTTAGTTTATGTACAGACCACAGAAGAGATTGAGTATTCCGTCACCGTCGGAGGTGATCATCCACGTGCAACTTCAGCTCTACTGTTCGATCAAGTAGTACGGGATTGATTCGTCTTGGTCTGGTGACGGCAATAATCTGAAATGGAAATTTTTCTTCTTCTTAGGCTCTTTACAAATTGTACCCTACCACATCTGAGAGTGTGCCATGCCAGTCGCTATCGCCTGAAAGCACTGGGATGTATGGAAAGGCAAAACCTTCCACTAAGTAGTAATAGTTCTAGGTATTCTTGCCCTGCTTGAGTGTACGATAAGAAAAAGGTTGGGTGGTTGCTACCGTGGACCAATAAGAATTTCAATTTCGACTTTTTCAGGACATCTCACCATTTTATTGAACTAGTCATTACTAAATAAATAAATAACCAACCAAATTCGGAAAAAAACTCACACGACTAGATGCCGGCTTTATAATGGCAGGTGGTGATTCTGTTTTCAATTTACCGTACGAAAACGACAGATGAGGTTCATCATAGGCCGCTCCTACCTGTAAAACCTCCGCGTTCACTTCTTACTTTTTCCACTTTTTTGAACAGACTTTGCCGAGAGCGATAGCAACTAATTCCGACCTTCCACCCAAACCTTGCAGGATTGGCGAATCAGACCCCAGACGGGACTTGATTCTGTATTTACGCTTTTTCTGTCATCGTGCTCAGCAAGTGCACTACATTTCCTTCTAGGTACTACGTTAGGACATATCCTTCAAGAAACCGGTCAATTAGAAACCAAAAAAACGTCTGAGGAGCTACGGTAGTACAGGGGGAAACCTGGGACTCGTGACTGGGAGTTCAGGGCTCATGCTGAGAGACCAATATCTCACCTTTTATCAATGATATGGTATAGTGATATCATCAGCAATGAATTCAATGGGGACATTAAACGATCAAAAAGACGATTGAGAAAAATCTCGCTGAACTCACCGGCGCATTACTCTCTGTTGGTGTCACATGTGCGGTTGCGTCCTTGAGCGCCTAAAGTTGAAGGATGCTGTATTATATGCAAAAAATTGATATTCGCCAAGGTATTTTCAGATATTACACTACGATGATTTGTTACTAAACTGTTGACCATCATTTTCCCCTTTTTTAGCTCCCATTAAGAGCCATCCTTAGCGCCATCGTCACAAACTACTAATCATGAAAATTATAGATTGTTATGAAGTTTCTGTCGTGAAAATTAAATATATAATTTCAGAGTTCAGTAAAAAAGTAATAGATATTTATGCGAACTAACAACGAAGTCATAAAACTCGATTACCTTATTGCCAACTTGAGGAGTTTTCTCTGGCGGATGATCCAGGTAGTCATTCTTTTCGTCCTCTGCTTTCGAGACCTTAAATAAGTGTCCTTTCACTGAGCTAAATCCTCCCAGGGTATCGGAGTCTTCTCGTCATTTGCAAATATATTTTGTCTGTGTCAGTAGTAACGACTGATTTTTATTTTGATTTTCCGTTTGTTGTAATAACAAGTGATACTTGGATTTACCTCGTCTACAACATATTCCTCGTCCCCAGTTTCGCTATGAATACGAGCTAGTTTCGCTTTTTCAGCGTTCTTCTTCTTCTCCTCCTCTTGCCACTTTTCATACTCAATTTT